GCTGGCAGTCCACTGGGTGGGTACCTGGCTTATTTTTTCATGAGACCTCTCATCCTCTGTTAAGCTAGACTAACTTCCTTACATGAAAGTCTCATAAAAGGGTGAAAGCAGAAGCTGCGATGTATCCTAAGGTCTTGCTTTGGACTTCACATCACATCACTTCTGTCATATTCTGTTGATCAAAGCAGGTCAAAAAAATCAGCCTAGGCCAGGTGTGGTGACTTACCTATAATCCCAGCACTTTGGGAGTTTGAGGCTGGAGGATTGCTTGTGCTAATGAGTTTAAGACCACCTTGGACAACATGGCAAAAACCCATCTCTACAAAAAAATACAAAAATTAGCCAGGCATGGTGGTTCGCACCTGTCTTCTCAGCTACTAGGGAGGCTGAGGTAGGAAGATGGCTTGAGCCTGGGAGGTGGAGGTTGCAGTGAGCCGACATTGCACCACTAAGTAACAGACCCAGACCCTGTCTTAAAAAAAAAGATCAGCCTAGATTCAGCAGGTGGGGAAATAGCCAATCTCTTGATGTTAGGAAGGGCAAAGTCATATTGCAAAGGATCATGTGGCTGCATTTTACAATCTATCACAACAGGGAATGAATATGACAAGGACCCAAACTATATTAACATTGGTTAAAGAAGAGAGAAGCCACTTATAACTTTAGCTAAGTGATGAGATCTCAGCTATCCATAATCAGAACACTTAAGGAAGATGGATCAGGATAGTTGTTCACTATAGTTAGTCAAGGCCCCTAGAAAATGTATTATAAAGCTGCAAGCTGAAAATAGAGCTCATTGATCAGACAGAATACCTTCTGGAAAAATTTGAGTAGAAAAGACAAATCAGAGTAATCAGGTACAGAGAAAGGGAAATACTAAAATCAGTGAATTCAGTAAACTGGAGGTAAACTACAGAATGTGGAAATATTTTACAAGATCTATGCTCACATTTCTGGAGGCTAGAAAGTCCAAGACTGAAGGGCTGTATTAGGTGAGGGCCTTTGTGCTGCATTATCCTACGAGAGAAGGACAAAGAACAAAAGAGAAGGGAATGAGGCCGGGCATGGTGGCCCACGCCTGTAATCCAAGCACTTTGGAGGCCAAGGTGGGCGGATCACCTGAGGTCGGGAGTTCAAGACCAGCCTGACCAACATGGTGAAATCCCGTCTTAAAAAAAAAAAAAAAAAAAAAAAGAATTGCATTCCTGCAATTAAGGCACTAATTCATTAATGAAGGCAGAGCCCTCATGGACTAATCACGTCTCGTTATTCCTGTAAAACAAGCATATAAATACACTAAGTATTACTAACATTCAATTCTTTATATTGGTTTTCTTTTTTTTTCTGAGATGGAGTTTTGCTCTTGTCTTCCAGGCTAGAGTGCAGTGGAACTGCAACCTCTGCCTCCTGGATTCAAGCGATTCTCATGCCTTAGCCTCCAAAGTAACAGGGATTACCAGCACCCACCACCACAGCAAGCTAAATTTTATAGTTTTAGTAGAGACAGCGTTTCACCATGTTGTCTAGGCTGGTCTCAAACTCCTGACCTTAGGTGATCTGCCTGCTTTGGCCTCCCAACGTGCTGAGATTACAGGTGTGAGCCACTGCATCCAGCTCAATTCTTTATAATTGTAAAAAGTGTAATGTACTTCAATATATGCAAAATTAGACTATTATTTAGAAGTATATCCAGGGCAGTGGCTCACTCCTGTATTCCCACCACTTTGGGAGGCTGAGGTGGGAGGATCGTTTGAGCTCACGAGTTTGAGACTAGCCTGGACAACATAGTGAGACCCTGATTCTACAAAAAAATTAAAAAATTAGCCAGGTTTGGGGGTGTGCACTTGTAGTCCCAGCGACATGGGAGGCTGAGGTGAGAGCATTGCTTGAGCCTAGGAAGTGGAGGCTGCAGTGAGCTGTGATAGTGCTACCATACTTCAGTCTGGGCAACAGAACCAAGATCCTGTCTCAAAGGAAAAAAAATAAAAGCAGCATATAAATTTGCTGCATTTTATATATATATATACATATATATATATA